CAAACTGCTTGGAGGTGGAGGTGGAGGCTCGGGTGCCTCACCCGTAATCCACCGCCGTGGCCGAGGAAGGCATTGCTGCTGGAGGTGTAATGGACATCAATACTGCCCTACAAGGGGTGCTGAAGACCGCCCCCATCCACGATGGCCCGGCACGTGGCACCCGCGAAGCTGCCAAAGCCTTAGACAAGCTCCGAGCCGGTCTCTGTGTGCTCGAATCCCATTGTGATGAGCTTATGTACGTCAAGTTGGAGGAGGCACTTTGTGCTGAGCACCAAATCAACCTAATTAAGGTTGATGGACAAGAAACTAGGGGAATGGGTAGACCTCTGTAAAACTGATAGAGAGGGGAAGCCATGGAAGGTGGTTGGTTCCGTTGTATAGTGGTTAAGGACTACAGCAAAGAATCTCAGGCCAAGGATGTCATTGAAGAGTACATCAAATGCAAGAAATGAAGAAATAAAAATTTTGGCTCAAAAAAATAAATAAATAAAAAGAAAAGAAAAAGAAAAATTCAGGAGGGGAAAGGTCTCCAGCATGGCAGTTTTGCAGACTAGTTTATGTCAACTTGACACAAGCCAGAGTCACTGGAATGGAGAGGGCGTCAAGTGAGAAAATACTTCTGTAAGACTGGCAAGCCCATAAGGCATTTTCTAAATTAATGATTGATGTGGAAGGGCTGGGTCCATTGTGGGTGGGGCCACCCCTGGGCTGATGGTTCTGGGTTCTGGAAGAACGGCTGAGCAAGATGCAGGGAACAAGCCAGTAAGTAGCACTGCCCCAGGCATCTGTGTCAGCTCCTGCCTCCGGGTCCCTGCCCTGTGGGAGTTCCTGTCCTGGCTTTCTTCAGTTGCTGAACTACAATGTGAAGTGTAAGCCAAATAAATCATCCCTCCCCAACTTGCTTTTTGTTCAGGATGTTTCATCACAGCAGTAGTAACCCTGACTACGATGGTGGCCGTTGAGACTGGTTAGGACGCCAGCGTTTTTGGGTTAGCGCCTTCCCCGTGACCCTAACCAGCCCCTGTGTGTTCAGCATCAGGTCGGTGGCTCCAAAAAGTGCTTCTGCCTTGTCTCCCCCACTCTCCCCTGGAGATATTATTTGATGAGCCTCCGCTTCCTGTTTCCCAGGCACCGTAAGCCGCCTCTCACCACCACTGTCTACAGACAGTTCCGTGCCAACTGCTGCCCTCCATGAGCAGGCACTCTTCGCTAGTACAGCATCTCTTCTGTTTACAGGTTGTCTGTGTCCTGAGAACTAGTACAGCATCATCTCTTCTGTTTACAGGTTGTCTGTGTCCTGAGAACTAGTACAGCATCTCTTCTGTTTGCAGGTTGTCTGTGTCCTGAGAACTAGTACAGCATCTCTTCTGTTTGCAGGTTGTCTGTGTCCTGAGAACTAGTACAGCATCATCTCTTCTGTTTACAGGTTGTCTGTGTCCTGAGAACTAGTACAGCATCATCTCTTCTGTTTACAGATTGTCTGTGTCCTGAGAACTAGCTCATGCTTTTGGCTAATCCTGGAATGAACTTTACTCACACTCCATTTCTCCCCACATCCATGTTTAATGCCATTAAGGGAGAGAGATTTAAGTGCATAATACTGTAGGCAAATTTCTAAATGGTCTTATTAAATAAAGAACACAGAGCCAAATGTAGGGGTGAAAGCCTTAGATCAGGGAAATAGGAAAAGCCACCAGCCAACCATACCTCACCAACTCTGCAGCTTCCAAAGAGAGTGACTTCCTGTCTACCTAGGGTTATATGTCTTGCTCTTCTGCCATCTGATTTGCTCTCTGTCTAACTACATCACTTCCTCTTCCTGGCCAGCCCTGTCACATCCTGTCTGTACAAGCCTCCAGAACTCTATGGTTGGTACTGTGATTAAATGTGTGTCACCACGCTTGGCTCTGTTTCCAGTGTGGCCTTGAACACACAGAGATCCTGCCTGCTCAGTGATAGGATTAAGGGCACATGCCACTGCTGCCTGACTTCTTTGTTTACTTAAAATGGCTTGCTATTTCCTCTGATCTCCAGGCAAACTATATTTATTAACGCACAAATAAAATATCACCACATAATACACCAGAAGCTGAGCCCAACCTCAGAGAAATACAGGGGTTGTCTTTTCAAGTAACTCATTTTAGAGATTAACAGCCCATGGATAATGAAAACTCTCAGGCAAAGGCACACAGTAAGTGTTATGGTTTGAATGTGAGCCATCCCTGACAGGCTCCATGGCCGAAGGCTAGTCCCCAGCTGGAGCTGCTCTTTTGGGAGGTTGTACAACCTAACTAGAGGATGTAGTTTACTGGGGATGAGTCTTGAGGATTAAACAGATCCTGTTTTCTGATCCACCGAGCTCTGGGCCAGCAGCCTCATACTCAAACTGCCACCACAGACAAGTCATAGACCAGCTGCTGTCTCCCCAGTCACAGTCGCCTGTCCCCTCTCCAACCATGAGCCAAAGTAAACTTCCCCTCCCCGAAGTTGCTTCTTGGAGGTATTTTTTTTTTTTTTAAAGATTTATTTATTAATTATGTATACAATGTTCTGTCTGCGTGTACGCCTGCAGGCCAGAAGAGGGCGCCAGATCTCATTACAGATGGTTGTCAGCCACCATGTGGTTGCTGGGAATTGAACTCAGGACCTCTGGAAGAACAGCCAGTGCTCTTAACCGCTGAGCCATCTCTCCAGCCCTCTTGGAGGTATTTTATCACAGTGGTTTAAAAAAACAAACTAACGCAGCAGGTGACAGGGCTGGACGCAGAGGGCGTCCAGCCATCCTTCTGGTGCACTGGTGAAGGTACAATCGATAATAAGGCGAGGTGAACTTGGGACCAGACGGTAAGAAGGATGTTTAAGGGAAACCCACCAGGTTATCCTCACTGGCTGGCTGAATTTGAAGTAACTAAAGTAGCGCCATCTTGTCCTGACTCCATTTGTGTCTCTTAGACATTTCTCAGCTCTCAGTGCCCCAATAGCCACATCAGCATTGGCGGCTCATTTGGGATTTCCATGACCCTGACCATGGTCCAGATGTCTTGACCAAAATAATTAATGTTCTTACAGACTAAACAGAAACTAAAATAACTGAACAGGGTATAAATCAAATCGTCGTGTTGTCTGGAATAACCACTATGTTCTGCCAAAACAAACGTTACATGGTTACATAGTTACTCTGGTCTCATCTAACATTGATGTGATTGTGTTTTGTTTGTTTTAACTTTAAAAACACTACCCCTGAGCTTCAGCACCAAGAGTCTTTCTTCGGTGTTAGCCTTCCAAAAATAAAGAACTCAGTTTCACCTTATATGCATGTATGACTTTCTCCCCTATCCTGTTACAGAGTCTCATGAGTTAGACAGTACTTGGGGACCATCTTGTGCTACAACTAGATAACACCTGAGATTTCTAAGAGAAAGTTCTCTTCCTTCATCATTTCATAGTATCTCCTGAAGCAAAGCCCTTTTCCCTCACTGCCTCCACCTTTCCGTGGAAAACTATAACGCCACTACCATTTTTCTGCTAAGGTGGATGACCAGCTGTGCCCAGATCAACCCTTACATCTCAAGCTGCGGAGTTTTGGTGGCTTAAGGCCGTGCTGTGGAATTGATCTCAGCCAAAGAAAGCCTCCCTGCCCAAGATATTTCTACCTCTGCATGGGGTTTGTGGGGGTCTCTGGGACCACAACAGCCAGCAATGTAGTGACCCAAGGGAGGCAAGAAGGTAGTTTGGTTCAACTCGACCCAGTAACCAGTGTTGGTTCAAACTTGGGGAGTCTGACCCTGAGTAGTTGACCTTAGACATGTTTATGCACGGTAGGATTTGCTGAAAATTTTCCTCACGATAATTAACTCAATCCCCTGTGCACAATAAAACTTGAAACATCAAAACTCTTTGTAAAGCACACGTGACACCTTCCATATTGTCATATTCAGGATAAGGGTCTGGGGAGCATCTTTTGTGGTCTCTGGTCACCAGGCTACTAACCGCATCTGCTCCATGCTTTCTGGATGGAAAACAGGTTATGCATCCCTCCCTTTGAAGGGGACAACCCTGTGTGTTTAACCTTCCTGGATCCCCT